GCGCCCGCGGAGACCACGACCGCCATCTGCCCCGCCCCCCGGCCGGGCCCAGGGACTGCCCCCAAAGACCCCCTGACGAGACCGCGAAGCCCCAGAAAACATCCCTACCCTCCTGGGAGGCGAGCTCTGACCCTGGCACGTCCGGAGTCCCCTCCTCGGCTCCCCCCCAAAACCTGCAGGCCCGGGGGAGAGATGGGGGAAGAAGGGCGGCGGGTCCAGCGGTTGCTGAGGCTGAAACTCCGGCTGGTCCTCCTCCCGCGGCGGCGACTGGTACCTTTGTTTTGGCGGCCGCTCGGGCTCCCTCTCTGGGGGGAGGGGGGACGACGAAAAATCCCTCCCGGACTGGAGGTCCGGGCACCCAGTCGCGCTGCCCTCCAGAGGACGGCGGCGACGGACCCTCTGCGGCTCCCTCCAGGCAAAGGTCCAGGCGGTGGCCGCGGCGGCGGCAAGCTTAAGCTCAAGAGTCTCCCTCTGGCACCCGAGCTCCTCACTCCGGGCTCGACTGACGGGCAAACATGGCTTCTCCCCCCACCCCAAGTCCCCTCTTCCCTTCTCTCTCCCCTGTCCTAGATTTTTTCCCCTCCCCTCCCTCTTTTCCGGATGGCCTCTTAGACAGCCTCCGATTGCCAAGCAGAGCTCCGTGGGGCCAGGACTACTGGAAACGGGATTTGCCCTTGGGACAGAAGGGAAGGCTTTCCTGAGCAAGTGAGGCTCGAGCTGAGAGCGGAAGAGTTAGCTGGAGTTTCAACTAAAGAAAGGGCATTCCAAACAAAAAATACCGCATTGGAAAGCCTTGAGTCGAGAGGGTGCTTCTTTAAAGTATGAGGAACTGAGGCTTGGGGGAGGGGAGGGTGCCCACCGACCCTGATATGCTTTGTTGCGGGGGGGGGGAGGTCTGTCCTTATTTAAGAACAATGGGTTATCTTCAGAGGGATCCCACTCGGAAGGGAGACAGGACCAGATTTGAATTTGGAAAGGATCACTAGTTTTAGAGTAGAAGATAGATCAGCAGAATTGGGTTCGAGGAGCGACTACAGGGAGCCCAGACAGGAAGTGTTTGTATGAATTGATTAAGTCACAGTTCAGTGATTTAATGCAGTGAAACTGCCTGTATACTGTAAGTATTTAGTAGCAAAATAATTTTAGAGACATTTGTATTCTTTTCTCCCTGTTCTTCCATCTTTAGTTCCAGAGAGGTACCCAGGTCATTTTGTGCTTTTTTGCTTCAGGGAAGTATTGTGATGGTCAAGCTAGAAGAAATTTCTTGCGAGACACTTCCCTTTCTGAATTAATTTTCCTAAAACTGGAGCTTACTGAAGAGATCAGGCTAGGTGTACTGGAAGGAAGACACGGAGAAGGAGCAGCGACTTGAAGAGCAAACAGAGGAGGGAGGAGAGACCCCTGGGAAGGGAAGTGCTCGTGGTCTGGGTAGCACTCGAGGATATGAGCCAGGCTTCATGCAGGACGGACTGGACAGCGGCACTCCTGCTCTCTCCTGGCTTGCAGGCGGCCGCTGCCTTACTGGGTCCTCACGTGGTGGAAAGAGAGAAAACAGCTCACGCTCTCAGGTCTCTTCTTACAAGGACACTAATCCTATTGGATCAGAGTCTCACCCTTATGACCTCATTAATCTTAATTTCTTCCACAAAGGCCCTATATCCAAATACAGAAATATTGGAGGTTGAGGCTTCAACATAGGAATTTGGGGGAGACACAAGTATTCAGCACATAAGATTACCCAAGGGAAATGAAAAAATATATCCATACAGAAACTTATACACAAATGATCATAGCAGCACTCTGGCAGGGAAGCAGAAAGGTATCTGGCTTTGAGGGATCACTGTCAACTTCAGCAATAAAACTGTCAATGGTGTCCGTCATGCCTGGAGTTGGCATGCCCTCAGGGACCTCTAAAATCTCCTAGAAGCTGGTGTAACTGTGAGAAGTAAGAAGGCCCCAGCACTGGCTGAGAGTCAATTTTCTGCTAGCCCTGCAAGAAGGAAGTGAAGAAAGAATGTTCATCCTCTTCAAGATGCTGGACTGAGCACATGTGTTTATCTTTTCTCCCTCTTGAGAAAATACTAAAAGGAAAGGAAAAGAATAAGAAGGCTAAAATATTGAAATAACATTGTGAATGGGAAGGGCTTTGTGAATGGATGAGAAATTTCAAAAAATGTCTGGAATACAGAAAGCAGAAAGACTACTTACTGATTGATGAAAGCGGTGGGGATGGAGAGTGGCTGACGAGAACCTGAAATAGAATAATACCCTCTCCCCGAGATGTCCATGTCCTCACCCCCCAGATCCTGTGGCTCTATTAGGTTATGTAGCAAAAAGGAATGAAGGTTGGGAGTTGAAATTATGCTAATTGGTAATCTCAAAATAGATAAATAGAATACCTTGAATTATCCAAAAGGACCCATTGGCAACTACAAGCATTCTTCAAATGTAAGAGTGAGGCAGAGCAGGAGAATCGAAGAATGTGATGTGAGGTTGCAACCAGGATTAGACTGTTGTGATATGAGAAGGACCCAACTCTGAATATGGATGAAGGGGCCAGAAGCCACAGAAGGCTGATTGGCTCTAGAACCTGTGAGGCCAAACAAAGAGATTCTCCCCTGGAGTCTCCAGATGGGAACGCAGCCCTAGTGATTCCTTGAGAAGCCCTGGACCTCTCCAGAACTCTAAGGTAATAAATATAAGCTGTTTTAAGCCACTAATACTGTGGTAATTTGTTAGAGAGGCACTAAGAACTAATTGGAACAGCTCTATACTTATCAATAAAGAAGTCAGGAGTGATAAACGTGGATGAAAACAGAAATTCATTGATAGTCTGTAAATGGAGGGGCACACTCCCCCATGTTACCTCCTTCTTGTACCCCAATGGGCAGTGTAAATCATCGTTGCCAGGTATTTATCCCAAAGCAAAAAAAGTAGACACCTCTAGAGAACTAGAAGTAAGTTTCTGGAAAATTTGAGTAAGTTGAATGTATTGGTGCCAAAGAGCTACACTCTTCTATTCTGGCATCTGGGAGCCTTCCTGGAGCATGATGGCTGCTCCCTTCCCTCTCACACGGCACTGAAACTCACCAGCCAGCCAGCCAGCCTGCCTTGTCACATGAGCTGAGCTCCTATTAGCTCACATTTAGCATTTCTGCTGCCTCATTCTGTCTGAAACACAGGTGGACAACCAGAAACCCACCCACATTTATAGAACACCTGCAGTGACAGGGAAAGACCAAGGTTAAAAAAAAAAAAGGAACAAAACAATATAGAAAAACTTAATTTAGAGGAAACAAGAATAATTAAGGGAACAGAGAACATCTTAAAATAAGACCAACCATAATCTATAAGTAGTGCCACTGGAGAGTTTAGAGGAGGTACTGAATTGAACCTATGGCAGGTGGTGTTTGTCTACCCAACAGACATTCCTCACTTCTTCCTTATGAAAAGAACCCTGTTATTTCCCCCATGTTGTGTGGCCATGTGTTTCAGGGGAAATTGAATTCCCTCTTCCTTGGGGGAGCTTAGTCTTTGTCTCTTAAGGCCTTCAGCTGGTTGGGTGTGGCTCACCCACGTTAAGGAGGGCAATCTGCTTTACTCAGAGTTTACTGATTTAACTGGTGATCTCATCTGAAACAAACCTTCACAGCAATATCTAGACTGGTTTTTGACCAAATAGCTGGGTATCATGGCCTAGCCACATTGACATGTAAAACTAACCTTCAAATCACATGCCAGGATGAAAAGTTGCACATCAGAAGGTACCAAGAGTTCCTAAGAAGTCTGGAGGGAATTTTGCATGATAAACATATGCCAGTGTGAAGTTCCCAGTAGAAGGCTACCTCCTCCTGTGATGGGGCTGTGAAGACAGAGATGGAAGAAGATTGTAAAATGTTACAAGGAGAGAATTAGCTTATGATTTCTTTTTTTTATATAAACCTTTTCCAGAATGACCTTATGAACAGTTATTCATAGCCTCATCTCCTATGGTTGTCCAGTTAGACACTGTGAAATCAAATAAGCCTTCTGACATTGAAAATCAGGCTTAACTGATCTTGATTTTCTTTTAGGTTACCCCCCAACTCCAGAGGGCTTCTGTACTAAAACAGGTGTCATTGACCCAATAACAAAAATCAAGAAAGTAGATGTAGTCACTGAGAGAGTGTGTAGCAGTTGGCAAGGACAGTTACCAGGCAATCAAAGGAATAAGGAAACCAGGAAGGAAGAGAATGGCTAATTGAAAACAGAGAGTTCTTAATCTGTAATCCATGGATTTCTCTGGGGCCCATTAATTATCTTCAAAGGATTAATTAGCTCCCTAAAATTATATGTAAAATTTGCATGAATGTGGATAGCTTTCATCAGATTTCCAAAGTGATTTGTAACTCCCTGTCCAAAAGAAAAAGAGAAGAAGAAAAAAGAACCGCTAGAAAGAAACCAGAAACCATCTGACTCCAAGGGGTGAACCATTACATGGGATATTGACTGAAAATGTTACTGAGTCCAAACTCGTTCTGCTTTCAGACTGCAAGACAGGCCAATAAACCAGGAGATGAGATGTTGGTGCATGGAATAGGAACTTTATTCGGAAAGCCAACAGACTGAGAAGATGGCAACTAATGTCCTGGAGAACCATTTTACCCAAGACAGAATTCAGGCTCCTTTAACACTAAAAAGGGGAGAGTGTGTAGTTGGTCGTTGCAAACTTCTTGCCGTAGGAATCCTTTGTCCTTGCAGCTGTCCCCATGGGTCAGGTCATGGTGTTCCTGTGAAACCTCCAAAACAAATGTTATTTTCTATTCTGCAACTTGTTATTTTTATATAAGTGCAAAAGTGTTAATGTCCATAAAGGTCAGAGCCTTGAGAATAGGCTATCTGTATATTTCAGGCTAACGGCAACAGTATTTTACAAAGAGTGCAGAGCCAGCAAGACTAAGCCTAGAAAATGGCACAGGGTTAAAGCCAAAGGAACAGAACTAGTATGGAGTCAGATCTGTTATTTTCTATTACAAAAACTATTCATTCAGTATGGCAATGAGGTCTCGTCTTTGAAGGGCAGTTTAGCCATGCTCCTGCAACCTCCTTTCCACTTCACCTCACTGCAGACTGACTTCTGAGTCTGCCACTCTACCGAAACGGCTCTTGTCAAGGACACTGACATTTATTTTTCAAAATCTAGTGAACAGTTCTCTCTTCTCATCTTCTCAGCAGCTGTGACCCCACAGTCTTCCAGTTTTTCTCC